TATGTAATCCGAAGTTTCTCTTTTGCCAATTTTTAGTATCTTGTCTTTGTGGATTTGACCAATCTGGCTATGATGTGACCTGGAGAAGATCTTCTTGGGTTGATTCTTAGGGGTCCTTTGTATTTCTTGGGTTTGGATATTTGAATGCTTTTTCTAGATTTGGAAAGTTTTCTTCCATGATTTCATGGAATAAATTATCAATGCCCTTATTAGTTTCTTCACCTTCTGGGATACCGATTATCCAGATGTTTGGGCACTTAATGGTATCTAGTATTTCTTGTATAGTATTATCATTTTTTTCTGGTTATTTTCTCAGTTTTTTCTGGTTGCTTTTTCTAGGTCAGTGTTTTTGCCTTCAGCCTCTGAGATTCGATCTTCTGCATGGACTAATCCGCTTTTAATACTTTTGAGGGAGGATTTGACTTCCTATATTGCAACCTTCATCTCTAACAGCTCCATCTGATTCTTTTTTATGGTGTGTATTTCCTCTTTCAGATAGTGTAAGAACTTCCTCACCTCCTGGAACTCATCGTCTCTTTTCTTTTGCATCTTCTGGAGTTCATTGTCTCTCAACTCTCATTTAGTTTTGTCACTACGAATATTCTGAATTCTCTATCAGACATTTCCATTAGTTCCACTATACAGTCTGTGGAAGGTCAAGGCTTTTTCTTTTCACTTATGGGAGAGATATTTCCTTGGTTTCTCATATTTCTTGTGCCTTTGTGGTGGTTCCTGGTCATTCTGTGAAAAATATTTCTCTTCTATTGTGTTTTGAAACGTGGTATCCACAGAAAGAAATTATGAGTTCAGATATATAAAAAGAAGTTTCTCCCTTAAAGCAGGAAGTTCAATAAGCATTGAGGATTTCAAGAATCCTAAAAATATTCAGAAGCTTGGCAACTGTGCACCTAGGCCTGTCTAGACACTCAGTCTCTGGAGAGTGAGGAGCAGAGCAGGAAGGTAAACTTAAAAAAATAAAAGCAAAAGGGAAAGAAAAGAAAAAAAAGAAGAAGAAACTAGGTAAAATGACCACAAAAAAAGGAAAAAAAATATTTTTTAAGGTAAAAAATGAAAACCAAGCAGCGCCCTAGCGCACCACGTGAACACACCAGGACATACCTCAGATTTAAAATGGCTTCTGAAATTAGCAAGAAAAAGAAAAGGCCCAAGGTGAGAAAAAGTGGTTCAAAAATTAAAAAAAAAAATCAAGAGAGAGAGAGAGACAGACAGAGACAGAGAGAGGACAGAGGTTGCCCTACCTTGTCTGAGTGTTTTGGGAGTCTAAAAGATGAGGTTTAGAGCATAACTTTAGTTGTCTTGGTCCCTCTTGTTTCATAGGGTTCTGTCTTGACTTTGTAATCACCTTCTATCTACTTTATTAATTTTCCTTTCATTGCCTTTTTTTAAGAGAGAGATTTTTGCTATAGGGTGCCTGTGCTTGCCTGAGAGACAGAGAGAGAGAGACAGAGAGAGAGAGAGAAAGTGAGAAATCACCCCCCCCCCGAGGGGGGTGGCCATGTCACATTCCCTTCTCCTCCATTCTTCTCTTGGGGTTTTGGGCATGCATGCACACGTGCCCGGCATGAGTTTTAACCCTCCAGGTTTGGGACTCGAGCCTCAGATGACTACATGGGAGTCTAGTGATGTAACCATTACACAATCTGCTGGTCTCCCTTTCATTGCCTTTTAAGTTAAAAATTTAACTCATTAGTTTCTCTCCCCATTTTCTTTTTTGTCATAAGCAGTTAAAATTACATTTCCTGCTAAGTACCACTTTTGTTATATCATGTGCTTCATTAATTGGTAATTAGGTATAGACAAAGATTTTTTGCTTGGCCAAACTTTAGTCAGGCTTCCTAACATTTTCCTAGGCTCATCTATGCACTTCCTTGTAAAATACAGTTTTAACAAAAACCCTGCTATGTCAGTTAAGCAAAAAGCCTCACTCTCATTATCTGGTCACCCTCAACATCTTATTAGATTCTTTATTTGCCACTATTCCCCAGGTGATGTCTGATCACCCTTGCCTGTCTTCAGCATGAATATTCTTAGGCTAGAATTCCCCTTACCTTAGGACCAGTAGACGGTGTAATGATGATATCACTGGACTCCCATGTAATCAACAGTGGTTCAAGTCCTGGAGCTGGTGGTTTAAACTCATGCCAGGCGCATGTGCATATGCATGCCCAAAATCAGAGAGGAGAATGGAGGAGAAGGGATTGTGGCATGGTCCATCCACTTGGGGGTGGGGGCGATTTCTTGCTTTCTTTCTGTCTCTCCAGCTAGCGCATGTGTCCTATAGCAAATAAACAAACAAATAAACAAACAAACACAACTCTCAAAAAAAATCCTTCTTACCTCAGATGTTTCTTCTCAGTAATTTTCCATCCATGGACTCTCACCCTGTTCCTTGGCTACAAATTCCTGATCTGCCCACTCAGTCCAATCTCTCTCCACCTTCATAACACCTCATTCCAATGGTCCCTGTACCTATTATGATGGTCCTGAATAAAATCTTTCCTACTGTGCTTTTTTTTTGGAGTGATTTTTGCTATGGGGCACATGTAATCCCTGCAGAGAGACAGAGAGTGAGAAATCACACACACCCAGGGGGAATAGCCATACTGCGCAATCCCTTCTGTTGGAATTCTGGTCACATGTGTACATGTGCCCAGCATGAGTTTTAAGTTGCCAGCTCTGGGAATGAACTGCAGTTGGCTATGTGAGAGTCCAGCTCCCCAACCACTAGCCACTTGCTGGGCCCCCTACTGTGCTTCAGCAAGTATCATTGAATATGTTTTTCTTTAACAGTAATTTCTTCTGGGCCAGCAAGTGGTATAGTGGTTAAAACACTGGACTCTCATGTGCCAGTCTCAGTTTAAGCCTTGGACTCAGTGGCTGGAAACTCATGCCTGCATGCCCGGAATCCCTGGAGGAGAAGGGATTGTGGTGTAACCATTCCCATGGGGGATGATTTATCACATTCTCTCTGCCTCTGTGTCTCCAGTGAGTGCAGTACCCTATAGTAAAAATCTCTCTTAAAAGAAAAAAAAAAGGAAAAGAAAAGGAAAAAGAAAAAAAGAAACAGTATTGATTCAAATATTAATGTCTACATGTTTTGAATCATCAGAATGGTTTTCATTTTGGTTCATTTATAGTGTTTTAAATTTGTAAATATACAAGAGTTTATTTTTTTCTTTAAAAAAATGTAGAAGCAACTTTATAGATTCTTATATAAGAATCTACATATATACAAGAAACTCATGTACAGAGCACCCAAATTACCAGAAAAGTGTACCTCAGCCCTCCTTTTTTGTTCTGTAAAAAGAGAACAGACTATAGGATAAATGATTCCTTCTTGTTCTTTCTCTTAGGTTTTTGCCATAGAACATGTATGCTCACCAGAAAGAGACAGAGACAGAGAGAGGGAAAATGAGAATCAACCCCCAGGAGTGATGGCCACACTATAATCACCCTTCTCCACTCTTGGGATTTTGGGCATACAAGCACATACACACATGAGCTTGGTGTGATTTTTCAAGCCACCAGGTCCAGGATTTGAACCATGGCCAGCTATGTGAGAGTTTAACATCTTAACCACCATGCCACCTTCTTTTTTCTTTTTTTAAAGCTGCCAGGTTCAGTACATTCAACACTCAAACCATGGTCGGCCATGTGGGAGTCCAGCGCCCTTAACCACCATGCCACCTGCCAACTCCCCATCCTTGTTAATTGTGTCCACCTATGTGGTCAGTTCTTCAAGTTGGGTTTCTATTCTTTTGCTAGGATTTGTGTGTGTGTGTGTGTATGTGTGTGTGTGTGTGTGTGTGTGTGTGTGTGTGGGTGAATCAGGCTGTTCAGTCTAGAACTATTTTTTTTAGGATTATTTATTTAATTTTGTTTATTATTTTAATTCGCCAGAGACACACACACAGACACACACACACACACAAGAACAGAGAGAGAGAGAGAGAGAGAGAGAAAGAGAGAGAGAGAGAGAGAGAGAGAGAGAGGGGAAAAAAAAGAACGCAAGCTGCCAGGTCTGTGACTTGAGCCATGGTCAGCCATGTGGGAGTCCAGGGCCTCAACACCATACCACCTGTTGGTTCCTTCAGTCTAGCTTTGACTTTGTGTGCAACTTTCTGGTCAAGACTCTGGAGAAGACTAGAAAGAATAATGGCGGGGCTGTTTTTACCCACCCCCCGGGCCATGTGGAGCCCAGTACTTTAACCACTATGCCACTTACTGGTCCCAAAACAAATAATTTTTTCTTGGAGAGGTTTTTGCTGTAAGGTGCATGTGCTCGCCAGAAAGACAGAGAGAGACAGAGAGACAGAAAGCGAGAAATCACCCCCTGGGGGGATGGCCACGCTGCAATCCTTTCTCCTCCATTCTCCTCTTGGGATCTTGGGCACACACGCACACACACACCCGGCATGAGTTTAAGCCATTGGGTCCAGAATTCGAACCGTGGTTGACTACATGGGAGTTCAGCAACATAGCCATTAAGACAATAGCTGGTCCCCTAGTCAGATTTATTTTAGTGTATACATTTTAGATAAGGGAGTCAGCAGATTATGAGCTCACAGAACATTAAGATGGTTGTGACTTAAATACCTTTCTCTTAGAAGAGAGGAAAGTGAGGGGATATAGGTAATTTTAGAGTATATTATTTTTAGGGGGAAAAAAAGGTCCAATGCTCAGATGATAGTGAGTAAATAAGTCTCTTTGGGAGCTGGATGGTCTTGAGAAATGGACAATAGCTGGCGACAGATGTGTGGATGTTTCTCAATCTTTCTTCCTGCCATCTGAGCTTAGTTAATGAAACTTCAGGGAAAGAATCAAAGATAATTGTTTGTTTATTTTCCTTTGGTGGGTCCACTCTACAGGCCAATCATGGAACCCTAGAGAAAACTATTTTCTTGCATTTTGGGAGATGAAATGGATCAATGATGATTGACAGACAGGGAGTAGGGAGAGAGGAAAGAGAGAAACGTTGGGTGCTCACTTCGGCAGCACGTAATACTAAAATTGGAACGACACAGAGAAGATTGGCATGACCCCTGTGCAAGGATGACATGCAAATTCGGGAAGCATTCCACATTTTGATAAAGTACATGAGTCTGAGCTGGTGAAATAGAATTTTATGACTTCTGACTAAAACATTACTGACCTTCTTCTATGCTTTGTTTTCCAGAGTTAAGGAGTTTTGTTTTCTCTTGAGTTGTGGACAGATCCATGTACCTACTATTCGAACAGAATCCTAGCCTGTTTCCTGGCTTTAAGTCTTAAGGAAAGTTCTTTTGATGTTTTTTTTTTATTTTGTTTTATTAAAGCTAAAACTGCCTTTCTTGAAATTAAAAAATATCTATTTAATGACCACAGTAAACTATATAGCCTCAGCTAGGTGCTACTTTGTAGTATATTTATTGTACTCAGAGTGTCATGCCAAAGTCAACATGTATTCACAGATATGTAAATATTAGCTGAACTTGCTATTGAAAGTATTTAGATTAAGATATTTTGTGAATCAATGAAATGGGAGAAAAATAAAAAAAAAGAATGGAAAGCAACTGCAGATACCAGAGACAGTGTGGGAAGAGGGTGGGAAATGGCAGAGGGTGAGATATAAGGGGAAAAATATATATATAAGAAATGGAAAGTAATTTGTTGACAATAGCATGTATGATTAAGCCACTTTATAGTGTATTCTGATTGGGAAATCGCATTTTGTATGCTGTGATGATGTGCAGTGAAAGAATGTAAAATAAATTAATAAAAAAGAGAGAGAGAGAAACTTTGGTTCTGAAACTATTTTTCCAACTTAGTATGTAAAAAACTCAGTGTTTAGGGATCAGTTTCTGAGACTCCACACTATGCATGTACCTATGCATTTGAGTTGTCAAAAATTTGGTAAATCATTTTTTATTTTTATTTTGAATCTTTTCTTAACTTTCCACCTAGTGTTTAACAAAGGCATCATCTTCTACTCCTTAGGTAGCAGTAGTAAACTAATCATGCAGGTGTCACAGTTATAGCAATGGGAGAATGCTCCCTGGGCAAGCCCGTAGGTTCTACTTTAAGGTAGCACTCTCATTTCCATGTTCCTTTTTGTTTGGGGGCCTAAAGGATATTTCATGTTTTGTTTTGAGGACTGTTGTGCTCTTGAAACAGCTCTTCTCAACACTGAGATTGTTTTGCATTATGTGGTTGAGTTTGTTAAAAAAATACTGAGATCTGGCTCCCATCCCAAACTAATTAAGTCCAAATGTTGGGGGCTGAGACCAAGGCATCGGCATTTTTTGTTTGTTTGCCTTTGCTATAGGGCACGTGGGCTTGCCAGAGAGAGGGAAAGTGAAAAATTGACAAGGGGGGGCGAGGAGGGGGCGGGCATGGTTGCATCACAACCCTTTCTCCATTCTCGTCTTGGGATTTTGGACATGTGTGCACATGTATTTAGCATGTGTTTCAAGTTGCCAGGTCCAGGACTCAAATCACATGGTTTGTTTTGAGAATGGTGCAATTAAAAAAAATGCTTACTATCTTTTTCCCAAAGCATTAATATGTTGCATATTGTTTTTAAAAAAGATATTACTGTGTCATTTCACCAGAAAGATTAGTTAAATCAAAGGTTCATGTTTTAATAGTCATAACTTTAAAATCTGAGTAAGCATTCCCAGCAAAATATATTTTCAAGTGATTTTGCAGGGCAGATGGCTTTTGTTAAAGCACTGACATCTAGAAGGCTGTTAAGTAATAATAATAATAAAAATCTTTGATTGTAAAAGGTAAAAATTTTCATGGGTTAAAGATTCCATAAAAAAATTACAATTTAAATGTAAAATCAAGAAAAATACTTGGAATGCATGTGGTAGAAAAGGGTTTCAAATGAAAAAAAGAACACTATAAAGTATATAAGTTATGAAGAAAAGGGAATTTATTGCTCTCACAGCTAGCATATAGTAAAGGTCAGGGTCTAGAGCATGTCATCAGGACCACCAGCAGAGGGCCAGATGGAAGTGATGAAGATGTCCCTTGATCCAGGAAAAAGTGGGAACCAGTAGTTAGCGTAATGACTGTGTCGCTGGACTCCCACGTAGTCGACTGCGGTTTGTGTCCTGGACCCGGTGGCTTAAAACTCACGCCAGGTGCGTGTGCGTGCCCAAGATCCCTAGAGGAGAATGGAGGAGAAGGGATTGCGGCGTGACCATCCCCCCGGGGGGTGATTTCTCGCTTTCTGTCTCTATGTCTCTCTCTGTCTGTCTGGTGAGCGCACACGCCCTATAGGGAGCAAAAACTTCTCAAAAAAAAAAATAAATAAAAGCTGAGGTCTTTTACTAGTAAAAGGATAACAAGGTATGAACATTCTTCTAAAAGAGTTCACACTGGACAGGGGCCAGCTGGTGGCACGGGGTTGAGGTGGGTGACTCCCACTTGGCTGACTGCACGGTTTGAGTCCCAGACCTGGTGACTTGAAAAATGTGCTGGGTGCATGTATATGTGTGCCCAAAATCCTAGGAGGAGAATGGATGAGAAGGGATTATGACCCCCCTGGGGGGTGATTTCTCACTTTCTCTATCTCTGGTGAGTACATGCACCTTACAGAAAAAAACAAAAACTACAAAAAGAAAAGGAGTGTGGGGTTAGCAGATGGCATAGCAGTTATGTCACCGAACTCTCACATGAATGACTGTGGTTCAAGTCCCAGATCCAGTGGCTTAAAACTCATACCAAGTGTGTGTGCGTGAGTGCCCAGGGTTTCAGGAGGAGAATGGAGAAGATTGTGCTGTGGCCATCCCCCTGGGGGAGAAGGTGATTTCTCACTTTTCCTCTCATTGTCTCTGTCTGTCTCTGGTGAGCACACACAACTTAAGGCAAAAAGCTCTTAAAAAAAAAAAGAGTTAACATAGGACAAATGTAAGTCTTATGAAGATGGGGGAAGGGACAGAGTTTGGCGAAAATCCATTAGCAGAAGTTGTCAGAAGCAACTTGCTGGCAGTGATGGTAATCAGTTCAGTAGTATTTGTGGTCAGCCTAAAGAAGATCGTGAGGCTGGAATTATCCTGAGAAAAATTGTCTTGTGAAGGTCAGCCACTTAGTCAACAGGGACTAACCAGAATGGCAGCTGGTCAGCCATCTCCCTTCTCCATTTGTCCTCTAGCCTGTAAGTTAGCATAGTAATGACTTTTCTGGGTAAACTTTCTCTTTTTAAGAGGTAACTTTCTTATAAATAATTATAGATTAATATTCTGATGTAAGAGAGAGATGTTCAAGTGACTGATTAATATGTCATCTTTGAATAAGAAAATTCAAATAAAACAGAAATGAGGTAATATTTTTATACATCACATTAGTAATAGTGAAAATATTATTTTATGCTATCATAGTCACAATGAGATAGAGTTAGACCCACTTACAGGTAGATAAGGTAAGAGCCCTGAAAGGAAGTCACTGTGTTTTTCCTTTTAATGAAGTCTCTTTGTTTTTCCTCTATGGTCTGGTTAATGTAAAATATACATACCCCTTACGTGTCTATAAAGAATTTATGACTCCTTACTAATAAGGTAAGAGATAGGGATATTGAACACACAGACAGGGTAAAACCAAGATGGAATCACAATGGCTAAATTTTCACAACCAAAAGCCAGGAACATTGGAACTCATAGCAACTGTAGCTAAGGGCAACAGTTTCTATTTAGTAACTGTATTCTAATAAATACAGAGCTGTGATCTGCTGACCACACAAAAAATAGGGTAATAAATCTCTCAGACTACCATGTAACTCTTTTCTAAAGCCCACTTTCTTATCAAAAAGCCAACCCATTGCTCAGACTGCTAAATAAAACCCCTTCACCTCCAGCCCCCTTTCAGCAACCCATTAGGGCCCCCTTCCATTGCATTGGAAATTTTTTCTCCTTTCCTAATAAACTCTGCTTTACTCTCCTCTCTGTGTCTATGTTTTTAATTCTTCATGAGCGTAGGATAAGAACCAGCATGGATGTTTGATCTGATCACCCAACATTCCCACATCAACAGTGCATTGGCAATAAATTGGAGCAACAGGAAAATTTGTGAAATTGCTTTTGGGGAGAACTAGTATCTCTCAGCACACAAAATACATAAACTTTATGACCCAGGATTTCATTTCTAGCTAATGATCTTTCGTGTCTACTATCTCATGTGTTCAAAATATATATATGCATTTCCTGACTTTGAACACATTCTCATTTTCATAGTTGAGTTAAAAAATCTTTTTTGGAGGGTGCAACAGGTGGCATGGCATGGTGGTTGAGGCACTGGATGCCCACATGGCTAATCATGGTTCAAGTCCCCAATCCCCCCGTGTGTGTCTCTCTCTGGTCAAATTAAAATAAATGAATAAAAATAAATGAATAATTATTTTAAAAAAAACCCTTTTGGAATACAAAGTTGAGTGAAAGACTCTCAAATGCTAAGTAGTGCCTTTTATAAATAAGAGATACAATATTGATACACATATATGTGTATATGTCTGGAAGAATATTGTAAGCATGAGCAAGACAACTGTGATGATGAGTGCCTCTAAGATATGAAATTATGGAATATGTGGTTAGTTAGAAGAAGACTCTTCCTTAACTGAAAGTATGTATGCTAAAAATATTTACCTCAAACAAGTTTTGTTTTTATAATAATTTTTTAGAAAGTAACAAAGTAGTTTTTACTTCTGAGCAGCATGTGTGAAGCAAGTTCATGTCTCCCCTGACTATAACTAAAGAATGGATATCTTGCAAAATCATATTTAAAGACATCAGAAAACTATAGAAGCAATGATCACTAACTAGACAAAAAAAAAAATCCAGTGTGAAAAACTATATAAGCGTGGGTAGATTTCTAGTCACAATTTTTAAAATTTTTGCCTTAAGGTGTGTGTGCTTGTAGGAGAGGAACAGAGAGAAGGAAAGGGAGAAATCACTCCCTAGGGAGTGGCCATGGCACAGTCCCTTCTTTATCCTCCTCTCTGGATTTTGGACACGCGTCTCCACATACCCTGCATGATTTTCAAGCTTCCAGGTCTGGGATTCGAACTGTGGTCAGCCATGTGGGAGTCCAGTGCCTTAATACCATACTA